CCTCCTACTACTACTCCTCCTCCAAGTCTTCTCATCCGAAAAATATCTTCTCGTCACGAAAATACCATCCTGTCGCACCCCGAAGCCATTCGAAGGGCGTGCCCGGCGTTTCGCCTGAGACTCCCGTACCATTTATGGCCCGAAGCTTAGACATGGACAACAGTTTCACGGATGGTGTGCGGGTCGCTTCGAAGATGCGGTTCTCGCTGTAGCGCCGCGCACACTCGTCTTAAAAACTTACAAACGTTTCACGGGTTGAAGGCGGGCGGTTTTCAAAACGTGGTTCTCGCCTTCGCGCTGCGCAAGTTCGTCTAAACATTCCAAGAGCTTCACGGATCGATGGCGTGCGGTTTTCAAAATGTGGCTCTCGCCTTCACGCTGCGCACATACGTCGAACAAGTTGTAAAGGCCTCACGGATTGAGGGCGGGCAGTTTTCAAAACGTGGCTCTCGCCTTAGCGCCGAGCACACCCGTCTTAAACAGGGCAAGTTCTTTACGGATCGAGGGCGGCTCCTCTGCAACAGGCAGCTCTCGCCCTAGCGCCGCGCACACTCGTGCTGAACAGATGCCGAAATTTCACTGAACCCCATGGTCAACGCAGACGAAGCGGCGTTGTGAAAAGATTCAGGACCGTCAGGGCGCAAGAATCACCTAGGTGTTGAACTATCAGGTCTGCCGTTCGGGCGCGAACCAACATCGCACATCGCCAAAACGCAACAGTCAAGTTGATCCATGGCGCTGGAGTCCCGGGAAGGGTGTTTTGGCACGCTTCAGGGTCTTCGAACGTTTGTCTCCCAACGGGGCACTTCCCTCAGTGGATATGAACCCTGGTAGCGGCATATGAAGGGGGAGCTTGGAGGAAGGGCTTGTTCCAACACCGTTGACGAGTCTTGGGTTTACATTGATCCTCCTCCTCCTCCTCCTCCTTTTCCCCGTTTCCTCCTCCTGCTCCTGCGCCTCGTCCTGATTTCTTCCTCTTCCCCCTCCCCTTCGTGATCCTTCTACTGCGCCTCCTCCTGGTTTAGAGATGACGTTGGGCTCCAGGTTAGCATCCCGCATCTCTGGGCAGCAACAGGACCCACTACCATTGCCCGCTGCTTCCACACGCTGATCCCAGCGCAGTAGCTGCTGATGCCTGGCTCCAGCTTCGCCTACCACATCTCGCTGAGCAGCGCCAGCGCCCGCTGCCACTGCTATTGCTCGCCCAGTCCGAACGCGCTGATCCCAGCGCTGTGCATGATAGATGACGTTAGGCTGCAGCTTCCACAAACCAGCCAGCCGCTCTGCACGCGAGATGCTGCGCGCCACGGCCGCAGAGGCGCGCCAGCCGAGGCCAGGTAGTCACCGCAATCGCGGCCGCACGGGCTGTGCAAAAATCGAGCTGCGAGTGGGGGGAAGCGAGGCGATAGAGAACAGCTCCGACCTCCCCCCGAACTTACAGGGCAGGTTTTAAGACATCGGATTCTTGTAAAACATAAGATTTCAATTCATGGTTAATTGATGGATAAATTCATGCATGAACTCATCGTTGCTTTTGATACTAAGCCCCTGCATTTTTAATACGTGATCCGCACGCGGAGCATGTATTGAAAACGGCACTGTGCCCTTTCTGCCTCGCATTTCACTTCGCGCACGAACTCCGCCATGCCGGGAGGCCCTGCTCGCACACTCCTGCGTTGCGACAAGACCAATTTCAACAGTTCCGTGCAAGGCGAGGCCGACGTCCACGCGCGCGCAAAGGTCGAAAGCCAAACGAGCACGTCCCTTCCCGCAAGGGTTCCAACCAAATATTTCAAACAGCGCAATCCGCTTCAGGTTGTTCCAGCTCAAATCTTGCACGTCTGCCCGCGCGCACTTGCTGAAATCAGTTAACAGCCATGTGAACTCAGCAATTTCGCCCAGAAGCCAAATTTGCATCTCACCACGCGGCGCATCCGCGTTGATCCAGCATTCGCCCAGTGCGCGAATCCGGGTCACATACTACCATGCGGGCCACCTGCGCGAGTCAGCCACTCGCGCATGTCGAAAACTCGAGTGGAAACTCTGAGGTGGAACGACAAAACTGACAAAAACCATGAACCCATCTGATACAACGAGTCTAGGGCGCACCATTTTGTTTGCACGGCTGCCGTGTGTATGATCGATGTCCCACCACAGGTCCTCCCCCCGCCCTTCGGGCACATACGCATATCTGTACGATGTGCTGCGCGCTCTTGCTCATTTCCTCCTCCTCCTCCTCCTCCTCCTCCTCCTCCTCCTCCTCCTGGTCATTCCACTGGTAACATCCCAATCCCATCCTTGCTTCTCGGGGTGGCGGTCGAGGCAGTGGGTGGGTGTGTACCTGCCGTCGTGTTGCTGGCATGCTCCACGGCGGGGCAGCTCGTCGTCTTCTGCATCTGCGCAGATGTGCACGTCTCGAACCAGCCTGTGCCATCAGCTTCAGTCCGTCATGGGGGCTGGCAAAGACGGTACGATGAAGCTCTCTGAATGGTCCCATGGCGCTCGAGGTTAACTGGTCGGCCCGAGATTCCTCCCCGCGGCCCTGCCATTTGTAACGCGTCCGTCCGCTCATCACTGGTTGCTCGAGCTCCATTACTTGAATTACGGAGACGCTTTCGAAGCAGCATCTGCGTGCCAGCCACGACCTCCTGACTGGCGTGTTGCTGCCAACTGTTGTATGATATCTTGGGTGATTTCATGATATTAGTCCTCAGTTTCTGTATCCCGCCTCCTCGTTCAAGACATTATTCAGGGGTCCCTTGGCCATCATTCCATGCTTCCTGTTCTATCCATATACAAGCTGTCATCGTCGAGCTTTCCATAGAGGCCTCTCTAGTATCTGGTGGGGCCTTGCCAGAGCTCTTATGCGCTATGGGTATCACGATCTCGCAATACTGAAGAAGCCGCCCCTCAGGGTGCCCTTCGGGACACACTTGGCGATCGAGCCCTGAATCCATGCGCGCGCTTTCGAATTGGGCCCGACATCTAGCCCATATCGAAGTTTGAACACAAGTGGAGCAAGATCTCTCAAACATGGGTCGGGGACACTGTGAAACCGTCGCCCTGCTTGTCGCCACACTTGGAGTTCCTCGGAGCTCACCTACCGGGGACAGGGGTAGGCATGTACGATCGATCCCAAAGTCGTGCCGCAGAACGTGGGCGGATGGGGGTAGCGTTTGTTCGCCACTTTCACGTGCTGTCTGTAGTACAGTCGGCCTTGATTGGACAGGACACGCGAGAGGACACGAGACCCTTCCGAGGGCCACATCGCCATAGGAGTGTAAGAAGGCACGTGTCGCGAGGCACAGGACACAAGAGTACCCTTGAGCTGGCAGGGTCGACCTACTAATCCTGGGCCGACTGTACGTCGTTCAGAAATGAGGCTGCCTCTCCCTTCGGTGCCAGTTCCTCCCCGTCTTCCCACGAGAAACCACAATTCAGATCCATCACCAGAACCTGTGTCGAACGCAAAGGGAAACTGAGTAATACTTCGTCGAACGATTCCACCCCACTAGTGTGCGTAGTGGTTGCGTCAATTTCTTCATCGCTGTGCGCACCTGTGGGTGGGGTGGGAAATTACAAACGTCTTGCCCAACATACTGTACCACTCGTGCAGCTCCCCCTCGTCCAGGACAGCTTCCTGGTGAATCCCAGATCCTTCGAACGTGGGCTGACTTCGCAGAAGGGTTCTCTTGAACACCAGGGTGACTCCAGCGGAGCCAGCACCAGCCCCATGACCCCATTGAGTCGCCAAAAGATGAACACAACCATCGGCCTGACCTAGGAACGATGAATACGGAACGAAGCCCCCTTTTCCAGGGAGCAACGCATAAGGAACGATACATGATGAATAACGCATTAGGAACGATAAACAACGCATGCGAGCCTGAGGAACGACCGAACCCCTTTTGAGAAGCAAGCGTTCCTTACTAAAGCCGCTCGCTGTAGGTTGCGCAGTACAGCGGAGAAGCGGCCGACGGATTCGAGCCCCACCGAGACCCACGACGGGCACCGCCCGACACTCCTCGCTGGCCTGCTCCCCTCTACCTGCGCGCGGCAGGGACAGAGGACCGCAGGCTGCCCTGCGCTCGCGCCAGAAGCAAGGGGGAGCGCCCCTGCTGGGTGACCCAAAAAGGGGTCCAGCTGTGAGGGGGTGGTGCGATAGAGTTGGGGCAAATGTACTGCAAATGAATCGCGCCAGAATTGGATCGCATTGCATTGCAAGTAGTGCAGTGTACGCGAAAACCAGCGCCCCGGGATGCATTGCACGCCCCCCATGTCTTGCAGCCCCACAAATCTATAACACCAAATCTATTGCACCACCCCCTTGTCGCATCCTCTTGTGTAAACCCGAGCCCTGCATTCACCACGTAGCACCCTCCATCAACCGGCGGGTGCGGGAGAGATGCAATATGCATAAATGTTGGCCCCATCACGCAATCCCTTGAGGCATCAGGAACCTACCCCTCCTCCTCCTCCTCCTCCTCCTCATCATCATCATCAGCATCATCATCATCATCATCATCATCAGCATCAGCATCAGCATCAGCATCAGCATCATCATCATCGTCATCGTCATCATCATCATCATCATCATCATCATCACCATCAGCGTCAGCATCGTCATCGTCATCGTCATCGTCATCGTCATCATCATCATCATCATCGTCATCATCATCGTCATCAGCATCATCAGCAGCATCATCACCATCATCATCGCCATACTCGGTGCCATCTGGCGGGTCCCTCTCTTCCATCTTCAGCTCCTCCTCCCGCTCCTGCGCACTGGCTTCATGAGGCCTCTGGAATCCCCACTGGAAAAAAAGCGCCAGTCCAACGAGCCAAAGGCCTGCTGAGATCGCGACGACAATGCCTACAATACAGAGGATCCGATCCTCCCCACAAGGTACCATCATCATACAACACACAGTATGCTTCCATGAGTTTCACTGTCTCGCTTGTTCGTTTCCCATTGCCGTCTCAGGCGTCAAGATGGACACAACATCGCACAGTATTGGACCTAGCGGCCAAGAGGGTTCCGATGAGCCCCAAGAGCTCCCCACGAGTCAAAGAGGGCTCCAAGAGGGACCTCCAAGGACGATAGCCAATGGACAACAAGCCTTCCATTGAGACTTACACAGCCAGAAAAACCTCCTAAAATAGCCATGTGGTGGCCCGCGGTGGTCCAAGAAAGCCACCAAGAGGCCCCCAAGAGGGCCAAACTCTTCAACATAAGGTGTTTCAGTAATTTTGGCTGTCCTGCCTCTTGGCCTCCACATCACAACGATATCGATGAGAGCGTCGATGCCTGTCGTCGATGGCGTTCAGCTGGGGAAGCTTCAAACTACCAAGCGCGCAGCCCGCGCAGGTCTCAAAGGTCGCGAGCCCTTCGCGCCACTTGACATGGGCGGGCGCCCCGTAAGACCTCGGGGCAGTCGAACTCGGGGCGGGGGACGGGACCGCGCAACCAGTTCTTCCCTTCTTCCTCGTCGGCCGCTTGAAACACGGCCGCGCTGGGCGCCGACTGGAATCCAGCGGGAAGCCTCGACGCGGGGCGCAGAGCGCCAGCCCTGGCACAGAACCGCGCCTGGTCCCAACACAAGGAGCTGGTGGACGACTGCCCCACACACTCGCGGGCTGACTGCTCTGAACGCTGAGTGGCTAAAGCTACGAGGCAGGTAGCATGCAGCGGCGGCAAGCCAGCCCTGCAAAACAAGCAAGCCACGGCGCGTGCCTGGTGGAGGCCAGGGTTGCGGCGGCCGCAACCCGAGCCGACTTCGACGCCTCGCTCAACGATTGCGCCCACTGCAGTCCTGCCGGGCGAGACAGAAGAGAACTCTTGCCGACTTGGCTCGTCCAGACCAGATGCCGTCCACAGACATGGGGAATCTGGGTGCGGAAACTCGTGCAATCAAGACCTTCGCTCGACCGACGTGGTGCTCGGCACCGGCGAGTTCGATCTGTAACGCGCCCAGCAGCCCCACTCTGGCCTGCGCGGCGAAGAAACGCCAGGCGTCGTCGATGGACGCCCGTGCCTGTGCAGCCCTCTTGGCCCCTGCCTGTCCCAGGGTCTTCAGCGCGGGGCTGGGCCTCTTCTGGTAGCGGGCCGTAGTGGCGGCAATGCGCTGCGCGAGCTGCAGCACGTCCTCGCTTGCGGTGAAGGGCTGCTGCAGCGGCGATTCTTCGATGTTCGCTCGCAGGTGGCGCAAGTGATCCCGAGAGAACGCAGACAACGCCCTGGCAAGCTGCTCGAGCACGGCCTCGTCCAAGACGAGCCAAGCTTGCTCCTCCTCTTCGGGCTGCGCGTTGGGGCAGCGATCCTGCTGCCGTCCTCGCGTGAAGGCGGGGATACCGACCCTGCCGCCTCTGCTCCACACTCCCAGGGGCGGATGCTGGACCCTCCCGTGGAGCCTGACTGTTTGGGTTGTGTGCCCTGCACGTCTGCGTCGCGCACCGCGCTCTGTTCCCCAGAGGTTGATGCCCACGAGAGGCGAAAGGCCAACCCGCGGCCCCATGGCAGCAGAACCGAGCACGAGGCGTGTCAGCAATGAGGGTACGGTAGCGATAGCGGTCTGGGCCGACGGCGCAGCGGGCGCTGGAGCGGGCGGGGACGTGAACCCCCCTGGCCGATCCAAAAGCCCCTTCGAGCAAGGCCTCCGGACTTGAGACAAGATAGCTACGGATCCCTCCTCCCCATGCGCATGCAGCCGTGCGCGTCCACCGCCTGCACCCGTGCGTGCGAGCGAGAGCTCGCAATGCCAAACGGAGAAGGAGGTGGAAGGAACGGTTAAGAGTAGGAGAAGGAAAAGGAAACGAGGAGGCAGCGAGGAGAAAGAAGCGAAGAGGCGGGGATGAAGATGGACGCGCGAAGGCGGAGGAGGACGAAGGAGGATAAAGATAACTGTGGGAAACAAGTACGTTATCCGTAACACTCGAAGTACGTACTGAATTCCCGAAGAAGGGGAGAAAACCGGCAAGCGATATCGGTAACACCGCGACAAATTAATTGATGAATTAATTCAGAGGGGCGGGGGGTAATGGGGGAGCACTAACTAACTCAGGATACCTTTAGGGGGGTCCTATGAGAAGGCTTGGTTTGGGGAAGATTATATGGGGGAGGCCCCATGGGGGGGATCTGGCGTGGGGGTCCCATGGTGGAGTCCCAATGTGATCCAATCCTACTGGAATCCTTTCTGAACCCTACTGGTGTCCAGGGGAACGCTATCACTTCTTTCAGGAGCGAGGAGCGGTACAGTTTCACCGAAGGGGGGTGGCGATAACTGCTTCCCAGGAGTAAGGAGGAGGAGGAGGAGAAGGAGAAGGAGGAAGAGGAGGAAGAGGAGGAGGAGGAGGAGGAGGAGGAGGAAGAGATCGACGACGACGACGACGATGCTGCAAATTCCGTGAGGATCTTGGACGGTGGCAGCAGTGCGGGCGGGCCCCACGGCGGGGGCTCCGGCGCTCCTGGCCGTGGCAGTACGCGACCCCGCGGAACACGTCCTCTTGCGGGCGGCCGGCTGGGCGCTGGGCAAGGGGGCGCCAGAGCGCTAGGAGGCAACACCTGGGATTGTGGATGCCATGACAATGGACACTCTAACCGCCCTCTCATTGAATTTAAAGATGTCTTTTAAATATCTTAGGCATGTTCTGAGCATGTTCGACATATGTTTAAAGCATGTTTACGCACTTTAGAAACACATGTCAAACATGCTTAGACATCTTGAAACTATTTGGCAATATGCCTCCTCTCCCTTGATCGCCTTCCACAAACCTGGGAGGTCTCCGTTAGAACGGCGACGGTCAACACTGACAGTGAGGAGGCGCGGCAAGGATGCAAGCCCCTTAGGCGCGCATGTCGAAGCTTTTCGACAGGGGCTGGCCGTCGAAAGGAGTTCAGGACGGACCGAGGGGGCGAGGATGCAAGGGCAGATTTGGGAAGGTTACGTGCCCATCCTTACTATCGGCTTCGACTAAGATGGCTATTGAGCCGATCCCGACCCTGGATGTAATGCGGGATGAGATTAATAAAAAAGATGGGGGAGATCGATTGAAAAAATAGTTTTCTGCTATTTCTGCACAAGTTCCTGACTGGGGGAGAACGATTAAAAAGAATAGCTTTCCAGCCCGCGGCCGGTTCTTTCTAATCGCCATCCCGGGCGCCGCCGCGTGAACACGACCCCCGGTCATTTTTTTATCGTCATCCTCCATGACGCAGGAGTTGCATCCCCGTGGACGAGTGCCCTGGAGGAGGAGGAGGAGGAAGAGGACGAAGAGCACGAGGAGGAAGAGGAGGAGGAACCGCTCGGAGGATGGAAGTCGGCGGGAGCAAGGAGGAGGAAGGAGGAGGAGGGGGAGAAGGAGGAGGAGGAGGACCAGGAGGAGGAGGGGGCTTTTCGCCACACCCCTCGCCTGGGGGGAGAGTCCTGGGGACCCCCGCGGGCCGAGAGGCCCAGACCTCCGAGGATGGGGTTCTCTCGGCCCTCGCGCAGGGGATCGACAGCAGAACTCACCTGATTACTGACTACCTACCAGACCACCCCAACCCAACCCGAAGACCCGAATCTGACCCGAATTTCGGGTTGGGGGGGGGGTGGGTACGGATTCCATGTGTTTTTTCCATGTTCCCCGACCCACCCCCCACTGGAAAGCGAGGATAAATTTGGGCCTTCGGGTTGGGTTGGGGTGGTTTGGTGGGTGGTGAATTACCTCAAGCTTGATTCCCCTGATTCCCCTGTAGAGTCTGCACCACCTGCTGCGCATCCTATGCGCACTTCTGAGCCAGACTCGGTGGACAAATCAAGTACTTGGGGTAGATCAATGCTGCAGTCGACGATCCCCCACCGGAGGTCCCAGCGTTTGCCGTTGCTTTCGGCCTCTGCAGGGCCCGCTCTCGGCCCCCAGGGGGGGGGCCCGGGGGAGGGGCCACCGCTGGAAGCACGCCTCGAAGGACATGTAGGAAAACATTCCCCAATCAGCGCTTGCACCGAAGGGGTCCTATAGCGGAGGTTGAAAGATGCGGCGAAGGTTCCCCGCCGATTTTGGTGGCAGGCTGGGTTCCCGGGGTCCCGGGTTCCCGGGTTCCCGATTATTGGTTCCGGGCCGATTTCGGTGGGTTCTGGGTTCTCGGGCTCCCAGGTTGCCGGTCGATCTCCTCAGCGAAAGCCATCCACTGATTGGGGGTTCTCTTCGGTGTAATGGATATTCCCGGGGAGACAAGACTCGCTCATTATGATGACCAAGTCCCTGCGTTTTTGGCCTTCCGGGCAGAGAACGCACCCAAATACGAAGTTTGGGGAGGGACCTGCAATGGAATCCCCCCCCCGCCCAAGCACGGTGGCGGAATCGTACGGCAGCGCCACTGGATTTTCGGGGAGACGTAACACTCGGGAACGGGGGACTCGGGTTGGCCTGACGGGGCCGTCATAAAAATGACGAGACCCAATCTGAAATCTGACGAGAGCTGCCGCTGAAAGACACCACACGAAAACTGAACCGCCAAAATCCTGGACGTTCTCGTCAAAAAACGTTGGCGAATCCGAGATCCGGCGCACTCGAGTCTTACGTATCCCCGATACATCGTTGGGCCCCAGGGGGCCCGGATGCATCCATATCCACCGCCCGACGAGGTCCATGAAGATCGGCTTCCAAAGCGGTGGGCATGGACAAATTCCAGCCTCGGCTATCCGCCGCGGACCCGCAGTCTCCTCGATAAAGCTCCCAGGGACACACAAACAAATAGACACAGATCCCAGGATTCCCCCTATCTTTCCACATGTTCTGGAGGTTCGCCTTCCCCCCCTACTGCCCATATTTCCCAACCATCCTGTGGTGTTGGGTCCTCCTTTTGACGAGAAAACGCCCCGCGTTCCTTCCTCCTCCCCCTCCTCCCTCCTCCCGTCACCCCCCTCGTTTCGTGGTCCCATAGGGGGCTCCACCCAAGCTCCCCGTGGCGCAGTTCGCATGCGGTTCCTGCTCCCAGTGAAGCTTTTCTTGGCCCCAG